CGGCACAGGGTATGGCGTAGGGTACGGCACAGGGTACGGCGTAGGGTCCACGACTATGCTGTACTTACGGCATTGAGCCACTGCAGAAGCATAAATCAGCCTTTAGTTCCATGCCTGCCAGATACCACAGGATACCTTCAGAGATCTTGCGGAGTCCAGCCTCAAGAGATCTGAAGTATTTTGGCAGCAAGAGGGGGATCTAAACAATATCAGGCAGGTTGTTTTAATGTTAGGGCTTATCGGTGTATAATAGCTGTGTGTGTAAGGCCTGAGGTGTGACCTGCCCCTCAGCTTGTCACAGCGCCCCCTGGTGTTGTGGAGGAATGGATGTATAGTGAGATGGAGAAGCTATGGCACTGATCTACACATCTCATCTTCTCCCAAGCTCAGACACGGACGTCAACTGCGATGCTTCCTGCTAATGAGAATAAAGTGATCTGGAAATGTAAAAAAAAAAAAGCAGAGTGGAGATCATCATTATCATCCGTACGCGATTTAAATGTGTCTAATGCAAGAGACACGAAGGGCATCATGTCAGCGGTGGTGTCACATGCAGTTAAGAAGCCTGTTTTAAAACAAAGAGATTAATCCCCCCCCCCGGTGCAGGGTGCCTAAGACTGCCATCCAATCAGGAGAACTCCCCCCTTCAGCTTGGTGGGGTGGGGGTTCAATTTCACACTCTGCTGGAGGGTATTTCACAGACAGGCTCATACACAGCGGTATATAAATAAATAAAATTGTAAACGCGCAGCGGGAAGGGGGGGGGGCGGTGAGTTGCGCTTTGGCGCTCGTTCTGGATTCGAGGGTCAACGACCGTAAAGATAAGACCTGCGTTTTTCCCCAATCTGGCGTCATCTGCGATCGCCACTCCCCCCCCCCCGCCAGCCTCCTCTATTTTTCTGCTGGTGTCCCGCATCCGCTGCGTGCTGGCACGTTCCGCGACACCCCCACCCCGGTCGATTTTATTGACGCACGGGCTGCGTTTACGAGAGGCGTTACACGCTCTGCCGATGAGAGGGCCCACCAGGGATGTGGAGCTCAGCTCTGCGTTACTCTAATTTGGATTCACACTTGTTCCAAGCAGACATGTGCAAAGCCATCAAGCTGCTCCAGTGCTGCTTACTCTTGTACCTGGGCATTCACTGGAAGCTCAGCCTAGCTGCACTTATGCCCAGTCGACTCCTTGACAGCCGTATATTTGCAATGTGCTACTTGCGTCACTTGTACGTCGCTTTGGACAAAAGTTCTGGTCATCTCCTCCTGATCTCCTCCTTCTCCTTTGACTAACCCCGTTGCTGTATTTTCATTATCTCAAAATCTGAGGTCCCCCACAAATAATACAACCCACAGTAGGGCCCGTCTGTGAATCTGCTTCACTCTGTCTCCGTCACAGAATTGGCTTCTTTGGATTTGGTGGTGGGGGGTGGGAGAAACGAATCCTTGAATTTCAAGAGGAGAGAGGATTAGAGGGCAGAGTTTGAGAAGAGCCCCGAGTCACCGGAGGAATGAAAAACAGAGGATCTTTCCCGCGCCTGTTTCGCGAGGACCCTGCCATCGCACGCTTATCCTGACGGTTCCGACTCTGGCCTTCAAACGGGAGCTGGTCCGATTAGCTGCAGCTCCGCATTCCGTCCGGCACGGCGACGGAGGGAAAACCTCTTCCCCAAAAAAGCAGGCTTTCCATAAATCTGCGTGACTTGTCGACTGGCGTCACACTCCTGTCATTGTGTCATCACTCACGCCCGTCGAGTATGGATTACGGCACG